ATCTCCAATCACTATGTGGTCATAGTCGTTCTCGCGTTCGCCCTGACGTTGCCGTCTGCTGTAAGCCCTCTCATCGATTTGGATGTAGTCTTCGAAGAGATCCGTCAAGTCTGCAGGCACCTGATGATTGTGCCAGGTGATGTCCTCGACCTTAGCATCTATTGCGTCGCCATCATCAATTAATTTTGATAGCGAATGTCTGAAATATTGACTTATCTTTTTGGGAGTGTAATATGTAAAAAGGAAAGATTCTACCTCGAATTTTGCCAGATCTATGCCTTTGGGTTGTTTATAAAATAGTTAGCACCAATGTTTGCATTATATATTTGTAGCAATGTGGCTGTTATTAAAGTATGCCATTTTTGCACATTCTCCTTAATCTTAGTTTTTACGCTGTCATTGCGCTATTGATGGTGTCAAAGCAAATAGCTTTTTGACTTTACAGTTACTGTAATAAGATGTAGACATACCTGGTGTCTATGAAATGAACGTTATAAGTTTGAATTTTCTTTGCTTGTCGCTGAAAATAAGTTAACGTTTGGCATAGGATGACGGATGTAAATTTGGGGATGTCAATGAGCTACAAAAATTTGTCACAGTGAAATAATTCCACTATTTGGATAATCTAAAGTATTTGCTTTCTGCCAAAATCAGGATTGAAAATCTTATAACCCTACTTGCCAAAATTTATATATTTAGATGTAGAAAAACTAGTTCTTTAAACTTTGATTCCTTTCTTCGCTATATCAAATTTCTTTCATAATGTAGAATGTTCCATAGCCTTAATTTAAAGAAGGTAAACTGGAGAAGCACTGTACGTGGGGCTCTTTATGCGGCTAAATGTTATGTTCACTTATGATACTTATTTGTCGTTTGAAATGAATAGATATTATTGTTATGGTTGCAATCTAAATGTTTACTATAAATACGTTAATTATTTATTTGATCATTATTATTTCTATTTTGAATTGACTCGATATTATTATGGTTATAATCAAATGTTTCTACAGATACAGTAATAGTAATTTCATTATTTTTATGTTCGAAATGAGTTGATATCATTATTATTATAATCAAAAGTCTCTACAGACAGAAATAATTGATTATTATTATTTCTATGTTTCTGTATCATTTTCCGTTGTTATTGTATTATTACCTGGATGGTTCAATCTCTGTATCTTTTAATGTGAAAGAATAAGAAATGGAAAAAAGAAAAAATAATTCACAATTACTACGCAAAAAAAATATTTGGCTCCTTTTAGTCTGTTTTTTTTTCAAAAGTGGATCACATTTCACGTTCCATGTGTAGCTTAGGGTAATACTAGAATGATCCTCCACTCAGCCATTTGTCAGACGTTTGCGTATTAAGTAAGTGCTTCACACAGCTCTGAGCTTTTCTTTTCATACTGGATAGTTATCCCTGAAAGGTGGTAGTTAGAAAGGTGGTAATGTAAGATCAATGTTGTCGACAAAAGTGATACAAATGTCACAGTCTTCCTTTTCACAGAATGAATGTAACAATATGTAACCACACTGTCACCTAAAGAAAAAGCATTTGAGACGGTTTCTACACACAATATTATTCATGACCAATGTCACTCTGAACTTCCAAACATTCTACTAGCTTCTCTGTAGCCCTATTGGAGATCGCATGCGCATTTTGTAGCAAAATAATAGTCATGTTGGTATAATAACAAACAACATGTCTAATAAAAATTTATGTTAATATAATGATAAACAATATGTTTTAATGTTAACAGTGTTTTTGTTTTTATTTGCTGCACATAAAATCGCATCAATGTTACATATTACATATTGGTAAATATAGGCACCACCACAAAATGTACCAACCAACTTGAAACAAGCTGTTCTTATGCCATACACAAGGTAATAGCTACTCACAAAACTGTTAGATGTTTCGTGATGAAGCACCGTACTGTTAGGTGGATACATTTCCATCCAAAACCTAATTCTTGATATTTATCATTGACTGAGTACTTAAAGACACATCAACATGACCATATGGAAGAACGGTAAGTAAACGTATGTTACAGAGTTTGGTGACAGAAATAAATAGCGGACGTGAATAATGACACGTGCCATCTTACGTATAATTCAAGACTAGGGCGAGTTGAACAGGACTAGGTGGTTTTAATAAACTACCAATCACCCTTAGAACTACATGGTTTCTACTTTGACAGGTCATACTATCTTATATGCTTATCTATGCCATCATAATGCTTCTATCAAACCGTAAGAATTGGCGACAGCATATTTTATATTTCACTGCAATGAGCCATATATCGTTTAACATCACACGTTTACTTTAATTATATAAATTGTAACAATATCAGAAATATGCACACGCCTCTTTATTAGTAATATGCAGGGAAAGTACAATTTCAAGAAGTTACTCATCTGACTAACGTACTTTTTAATCATTTAGGTAATCAGGATGTACCGCACTATGACCTCTCTGACCCTCGCGTTGACCCAAATACAATACACGACTGTTAAACGACCGCGGCAGTATTTAGGTAAAAAAACTTTCACATATTTCAATAAATACATGAAACCCCTCTATATTAATCACAAGCATACAACCCTGAAAGCGATACAAATATGCTACGTGTACTAGTCGTTTGTCAGTTCATCCATAACTTCAATAATAGGTAAAAAGACGCCGCTGTCATCGTTACTGACTTAGCTCAGTTGGTAACCGCGCTGCACTGCGAACCATTGCTAGCGAGCTGGGCGCGAGTTCGATCCTTGCTCGGGTCATGTTATGATATGTTATGTATTGTGTTATTGTGTTATGCATGTGTTGATGTTACTAACACTGTTCTTGTTTGTTGTATTGCGTCTGTCATGATGTTTATATGTTACTAACTTTATATGTTTCTTGTATTATGTCTGTCATGTTTATATGTATTTCGTCTTCATGTATTATGTATGTCATGATGTTTAAGTGAATAACTCCGTCATCTGTATCGTTCTGTTATGTATGTTAATTGTATGTTACGTTTTGCGCTATGTTTTGTCATATCTGTTATTAAGTTATATGCGGTTTGTTGAAAACTAAAGGTAGTAGTCATTGTTGGAAAATGTCAACGTTACTCTCTTTATTTTAGATGTTAAAATTTAACGAAGTCTGAAGGAGAATGTGTTTACTTGACATTTTTCTTAAAGTCTGTTTCTTTTAGTCAGTATCATATAAAAGGATTTGTGGATACCTACGGTACTAACGCAGTCCTGGGTTTTAACTTTTGTTTATGAGTTGTGTCCGGCCCGACTATTTCTGACATTCCCCAAAAAAGCACAATGAAGTGGGGTTTCATGACATAGAAAATATTACACCTATAGCTGTAAACATAGTTGAAACAGGAACAAACGCGAACGCATTATTTGGTCCGATGTAGGTCCTCACCACGACAAAAACCGCGGCCTCCGAGCCGCCAATCACGTGACGCCCTGACATGTCAATCATTCCGGTAGATACGTAAGCCGTCACCACGGTGACATGCGTCACTCCCCGGAGTTGATACGAAGCCTGATGCACGTGGTGCGCTTAGCTGTCAATCATTTTCGCAGCCAAGGAAACCGTCACCACGGTGACATGCGTCCCAATCCCAGTATTCACCGCGGTAAAGATGGCGGCCGAGTGTTATTGTTGTTGCTGTAGTCCTGGCAACGTTACTTGTTGTCACGACAACTATAGTCGTTTTTGAGTGGTGGAAATGAAACGACCGTATTCAGACTTTTTAGTCGTTACTCAGTCGTGAATTAGTCGACGCGATGGATATGGTCGTGAACTAGTCTGGAATGTCCCAATATTCGACCAATCCCAGCCCAGATTACGACCATCAGAAATCAATGGGCAAAATGTACGACCAAAACACTACCGATTTCAGCCTATCCATTCAACACGACCAACGACCCATTTCACCCCCAAGTCAGACCGATCAACGACCTGCCCGTGCACTGTGCCT